AACCCCAGCCTGGGAGTTAAGAAGTTCCAAACCCTGCCCTGCCACTGACACACTCTTTGGGTTTCAGTTTCCCTATTGACATAAGAGTTTGGCCCAGGAGTTCTCTAAGGCCCCTTTAACTTGATGAATGGCAGATAATCCACCCATTAAGGGGCAGTCACATAGAAGATATCAGAAAAAAAAAAAAGTTCCCATTTGCCTTTCTAGTCTGCTGAAGTCCAAGTGGAAAACTGCACCAAGCTCCTAATAGCTTCCCACATCCACTTTCTCTTCCTTCAGTGCTTCTCCCTCCTACACTCAGAAGGCTCTTTTTCAAAACACAGATTTTATCATGTCACAACCCTATTTAAAATTCTTTAGGGGCTTTCCATTGCTCTTAGGAAAAAGTTCAAAATCTGACTGAGGCCTAAGGCTATATGTGACTTGATGCCTGCATTCCTCACTTAGCCACCCTGCCCCCATTCACCAGCCTCCAACCAAACTAGCCTTCTATCCATTTTCCCAACACACTAAATTCTTGACTCAGTCTTCATATATCCTATCCCCTCTGCCTGAAATAATCACCATTCTTCTTGTCACCTGGCTCTTGAGGACTCAGTGTTCTTATTCTTGAGGATTCAGTGTCTTCTTTGAGACATTCCTCAACCTTTTGGAATCAGTTAGGTGCCCTCTACCTCCCTGTGATTTGTTTTCTAATCCCCATGAAGGCAGGAAATATATCTGTCTTGTTGCCACTCCACCCCCAAGCCCATCATAATACCCCACTATAATAAGTAAGTATTTGATAAATGTTTTCCAAATGAATGATTGCTCAGTGACTATGGGAAAGGAAGAGATTCCTGCTTCAGTGCTTCCTAGCAGGCTACAGGTTCTGATGCTGAACAAAGAGCCGTAGGCCTGACCCTTTGGCTCAACCCAGACCCTTTCCCTGACCTACATCTGCTGGGCCTTTTAGAGGGGTCAGATTTGGGGTGCAATAACCCTTTAAAAGTCCCTATCTTGAGGCCTGGGAGAGTTGATATATCAAGCTCCTTGGGCAGAATTGAGGGTCCCTGGAAGCTCCCACTTATGGGAAGTCCTTAAACCAGTCCTGTCTTCCAGACCTCAAATCAATCCATTCCCTAGTTTCAAACTTAGGGCAGGGAGGTGTTGGAAAAGAGCTGTGGGGTCCTGGGCTTGACCCCTGACCCTCCTCTTCCTCTTCTGCCTCCTCCTATATGAAACTGAGTTGGGAAGGAATGGAGGCTGACCTAGGAGAATTTGTGAGTCTGAATCCAAAAAGAAAGGGGAGTC